TGGACGCCTCCTACTCCCTCTCCTCCTTCCTCCTCCTCTTTCCTCCTCCCCTCCTGTTGGACTTACTCATACTCAGACTTGCTCATACTCAGACTTACTCATACACAGACTTACTCATACTCAGACTTACTCATACTCAGACCTACTCATACTCAGACTTACTCACACTCAGACATACTCATTACACAGACTTACTCATACACAGACTTACTCACACCCAGACGTACTCATACACAGACTCACTCATACCCAGACTTACTCATACACAGTATTAGTCATACTCAGACTTCGCTTGGAGAGCAGATTGTGAGGATGTCTCAGGCGGGGCGCTGGTTTCAGCACCCCTAAGGGGAGCCGCCAGGGGTGTTTGCACGGGCTCGTTCGCGGCCATTTTGTGGGGATGTCTCAGGCGGTTTGCTTGTTTCTGGGCTCAACATCCTTCGCTTGGAGAGCAGATTGTGAGGATGTCTCAGGCGGGGCGCTGGTTTCAGCACCCCTAAGGGGAGCCGCCAGGGGTGTTTGCACGGGCTCGTTCGCGGCCATGTTGTGGGGATGTCTCAGGCGGTTTGCTTGTTTCTGGGCCCAACATCCTTCGCTTTCGGAGCAGATTTGGAGGATGTCTCGAGCGAGGCGCTCATTTTCACCCCCCAGGTGGGCCAGATTTTGAGGATGTCTCGATCGGTTTGCTTGTTTTGGTGGCCAGGCTCGTGGCCCTAAGGGGAGCCGCCAGGGGTGGTTGCACGGGCTCGTTCGCGGCCATTTGTGGGGATGTCTCAGGCGGTTTGCTTGTTTCTGGGCCCAACATCCTTCGCTTTCGGAGCAGATTTGGAGGATGTCTCGAGCGAGGCGCTCATTTTCACACCCCAGGTGGGCCAGATGTTGAGGATGTCTCGATCGGTTTGCTTGTTTTCGTGGCCAGGCTCGTGGCCCTAAGGGGAGCCGCCAGGGGTGGTTGCACGGGCTCGTTCGCGGCCATTTTGTGGGGATGTCTCAGGCGGTTTGCTTGTTTCTGGGCCCAACATCCTTC